TGTTACTGCTGCTGCTACTGCTGCTGCTGTTACTGCTGCTGTTACTGCTGCTGTTACTGCTGTGGTGAAGGCCTTCAGCTGATTCGATCATTTTTCCACTGGTCTGCAGAAACATCTGAGCCATGAGCTGAGTCTTCATTAAAGCCCCCCCTCCCCCCCCCCCCCCCCCCCGGGGGGGGAGAGTGTGGGGGAGTCGACTCTGAGAGCTTTTACCACGACTTTGTGGAAAAGACAGCAAAACAAAGGAAACGGTGTCAAAGCTCAGAGCAGAGGAGAAACTGGAATAGTTTAGAGATGGAGTCATGGCTGGAGAGGAGGAGGAGGAGGAGGAGGAGGAGGAGGAGGAGGAGATGACAGGAGGAGAGATGGAGGAGCCCTGAAGGTCAGCAGCTGGAGCTGGACGTGTGAAGATGAAGATGAGGTTTTACTCATTTCCAGTTTCCTCCTCTGGGATGAGGAGGAGGAGGAGGAGGAGGAGGAGGAGGAAGTCTAAACTTTTGAAACCGCACTGTGAGAAACGTCTGGTCCTCGGAGCAGAATCAGAAACCAGGATGAACCCTCCGGATTCAAACCCACAACCTGATCAAAATGAGTTCTGGATGCTGAAGTGCCCCCTGGTGGCTATGCCCAACACATTTCCCTCCTCAGTCACTGTTCCAGCTCACCTTCCTTGGTGGTCCCATCAGTCTGCAGCGGCGGTCCTCCACCGGACCGGTACTCAGGTGTCACAGTGACCCGGTACCTGGTCCGGGGTCGTAGCTCCTGGAGGACCTTGGTGGTGGTCTCCGCTCCGTCGGCGGTGGTCTCCAGCCTGGAGCCTCGGCCGTCCATGGGTTCATAGGTCAGATGGTAGCCAGTGACGGCTCCTGGCGCCGGCAGCCATGACACCCTGAAGCTGTGCGTGGTCTCTTCAGACACTCCAAGGTTTCGAACCGAGCCTCGTTCTAGAAAAGACAGAACTTTTACTCAGCTTTTTTACCAAAGACCTAGAACAAGGACGTAGAACCAGAACAGAAGTACCTTCTGAGGTGGTCTGGTGACCCTTCACCGGTAAACTGTCCAGGCCGTAGTACTGGGCGTACACGTTGACCTCGTAGCGTGTCAGCGGGGTCAGGTGGGGCAGCAGGACGGAGCGTGTCCCCCCAGGGATCGACATGGAAATAAAATGGCCGTCGGTGCCGTCGGCCGGTCGGAACTGGACCAGGTAGGACTCTGCGTTGTCGGCATCGATCTCCCATGAAGCCCTGAAGCTCCTGGGACCGACCTCGGAGAAGGAGAGCGCCGTCGGACGGACAAGTTCTGAAAAACAAGACGGAAAATTCCAGAAAATTCCTTCAAAGTCTGCCAGACCAAACCTCATGGAGCAAATCAGGGATTTAAGCTCCAGGACTGCCTCCGCAACGGGACTAACAACGGGACTAACAACGGGACTAACAACGGGACTAACAACGGGACTAACAACGGGACTAACAACGGGACTAACAACGGGACTAACAACGGGACTAACAACGGGAGTAACAACGGGAATAACAGCGGGAATAACAACGGGACTAACAACGGGAATAACAACGGGACTAACAACGGGAATAACAACGGGAATAACAATGGGAGTAACAACGGGAATAACAATGGGAATAACAACGGGAATAACAACGGGAATAACAATAGGACTAACAACGGGAGTAATGACAACAATAATAATCAGAGTCAGGGTGAGTGTGAGCTCCAGTGGCCACAGCGGCTGAGCTCAGTGTTCTCCGTCTCCTCCACCCTCACAGATGTTCAGGAGGTGGAGGAGGAGTCAGACACGGGGAAAGCGTTTTTCCCTGTGTCTGCCGGGGTTCCCGACGCTCCGTCCTGTCCTGACGCTGTGATGACGGACTCACAGAACAGAGGAACTGG